AGAATTGCAGACCAAGCCGAAAAGAAAAAAAGAAAAAAAAAAAAAATTAAAGAAACCTGCTCGATACCATGAGAAGAAGAGAAAGAGTATAGGATTGAAAGCGGCCGGCGTGAATCAAAGCCGTAATACCGTCATATCTCATTAGGATGTGTACAAAGAAATATATAGAGTACAACCTCATAAACCTACCATCAATACACATATATATTTACACAAATATATTTACTTACCATAACATTTTTTTTTTTTTTTCGGCCAATCGGCCACGGACCGACCTGGTCCGTCGTCCCGGTCCCAGCCCGGCCTATAAGTTGCCAGTTCCAAGAACTGGCACCGTGGCTTCACGGGTAAGTTCCGGGTCCCTTTATTTTGTCCCGGTCCCGGTTTGACAGACCGGCTCTTGATTTTTGGCGGACAGGTTAAGGGTCACCCATGGGAGGCCGGCCCGGCCAGATTAAGGGTCAAAGACATATTGTCAAATAAATCACAATTCCATTTAACAAATACCGTCGTTGATATTGGAAAAAAATTATTATTATTATTTTTATTATTGTCATGTAAAATGACTATATTCTATTACTTTATGTATTTTGGAGTGTAATTAGAAAACCAGTGGCTGAGTTTATTTTGATGATACTGTGATGAATGAATTGGTGAATGTGTGTTGTCGAGTCGTGCCTACCGTTCATATATCTAATATAATAAATTACTATTAGCAATAATACACTGTTATTATGTTTTACGAAATTCATACTTATCTTTTTTAGTAAATTAAAATAGAAGTTTTATTTGAAATTTTCAAAAAAAAAAATGCTAAAAGATTATATTGTTAGATTTAGCAAATTGCTATTTACCGCCCCCTTTTATTAATCACCCCCAATTACGTTTTTGCGCTTCACACTATTTCTCTACTTTTTCTCTATACTCTTTCCCTCTCGACTTTTCACGGATCTTTTGACCGTCAAAAAAATGTCGAAAAAATCTGAAAAAAATACCATGACATCGGCAAGACATTGAAGATTGACTATGTATTTTTTTTATATTTTTTCACTTTATAAATAATTTTTTAAATTTTTTTTTATTTTTTTTTTTTCGCGTCCGGCCGAACGGACCGGACACACCAATGGGTGTCCGGCCGTACGGACCGGACACACCAATGGGTGTCCGGTCGGACGGACCGGACGCACCCATTGGTGTCCGGCCGGTTCGGCCGGACGCTATATTACTTGTCCGGTCCGTCCGGCCGGACACGAAAAAAAAAATAAAAAAAAATTTAAAAAATTATTTATAAAGTGAAAAAATATAAAACAAATACATGGTCAATCTTCAATGTCTTGCCGATGTCATGGTATTTTTTTTCGAATTTTTTCGAAATTTTTTTGACGGTCAAAAGAGCCGTAAAAATTCGAAAGGAAACGAGTAGAGAGATAAAGTAGAAAAGATAGTCATAAGGACAAAAACGTAATTGGGGGGAACGGTGATTAGTAAAAGGGGAGCGGTAAATAGTAATACCCTATTTATCTTACCCTATTTAAAAATTTAGCAGGTTAAAAAGTCCGGATTACCACTACTTTTAACTTCATTCGAGCAAATTTATGCATAATTTTCAGTATTTGATTTGAAATTGAGTTCTGATTGGAACAATAATGCTATGGAGCCAATGGTTGGCTCCCTTATGGAGCCAACCACCAATCAAACATCCCCACATGGGATGTCCCACATTAAATTAATGTGGGACATCCCCATGTGGGGATGTTTGATTGGTGGTTGGCTCCATAAGGGAGCCAACCATTGGCTCCATAGCACTACTGCTGATTGGAAATATATATTTTGTAAAACAATTTCAGAAAGATTTCTAAAAAAATTAATTGGGGGACCAAAATGGGTTAAAGAGTGAAAAAAAATATTTGCGTGCAAAAATGAGATAAATTTGAAATTGTCAATGAATATGAGTTAAAATATAATGAATAAAGTCATGTTAAATAAATAATTAAGTAAAGAATGTAAATAATTGGTAGTAGTTAGAAATGGTTGAATGAATAATGGATGTTATTGAGAAATGTATAACGATGATTAATTTTTATGTTTAATTGTTTTGATAAGATTGACGGGAAAAAAACAAAGTAAAACGAGATGGATAGAAATTTTTTGATTGATTTTTATGTTTAATTGTTTTGATAAGATTGACGGAAAAAAAAGTAAAACCAGACAGATAGTAATTTTTTGATTAATTTTTATGTTTAATTGTTTTGATAAGATTGACGGGAAAAAAACAAAGTAAAACCAGACGGATAGTAATTTTTTGATTAATTTTTATGTTTAATTGTTTTGAT